TTTTTTTTTCTTTTTAATATTTTTTTGGTTTCATTTAAGGAATGATGCATCGATACGCAGAATACTTCATGTTCTTTATGCAATAAATAAATAAATAAATAAATAAAAAATAATAATAATATTAGGATAAATTTGGGAAGTGAGTTTTTGTGGTAATAAAACAAATAATAAATAGAAGAAAGAAGTTTTCATCCTGTTATCATCGAAGAAATAAAACAGAACTGCTCAGGTTGCTTGTATGTTTGCAATCCGTATATCAATATCTTATATTTTATTCGAGCGTTATTTATATTATACATATTTAGAATTATTACGGCGCATCTACATACAAAACACAGCATATTTGATAATTTTTTTCGTAAAGTTATAATACGCTTTTGCCGAGAATATTTAATCTAGATTACAGACAATATTATCATGCTTACTGTGATAGATCGCGTCTGATACGGTTTCAAGTTAGTTACACATAATCCTTATCAATCTTTTATACGTTACATATACATAATATATCCGCGAGGAAATAAATGCATGCGGCGCTTTTATTAACGGTGGTGTTAAAAAGTGATTTGTCGTTTTACCGCTACACACTTTTGCACAGCACGTACATAAACAATATATATATATATATATATATACGTATCATCATCAGTCGAAAATAATCTTAAACGGAGGATAAATTCATACAGAGCAATGTACATTATGTGCATTAATGTACACACGTATAAAAAATTGGAGATTGTACACGTCAATGCGAAGAATTCATTTTTTACTTTACGAGGTTGGAGAAATATAAATTTTTGTTTTCTTGAGAGATTCCACGGATTAAAGCGGATAAATTGTTTAACATCCCATAATATAATATAATATATAATATAATATATTATATATCTATATATATATATAATCTTCGATTATAACAATGCACAACGTCGAGCAAATATACAAAGGCTTGTTGTGTGTGTGTGTTGATTCAACAAAAAAAGAAAACATAATTACAAATACCACTCAGAGAATTATATTTTTTTTTTTTCTTTTTTCTTTTTTTTTGGAAGAAGAACCAAGCCCCCCAGCATCGTATCGGCATACATTTAATGTGTGTATTATACATATCTACAGGTCTATAATTAAAATTTTTCTTTAAACTTGTGAAAAATTGATCTACAAATATATCAACGTACAACTCTATGTATATGTACACGAAATGATTCGAGAAATCATTAAGCAAAAATTTCGCAAGTTACACACTTCTATAATTGTATAAAGTGTTTAATATTTACGAATTTTTTTATCTGGTTTTTCTTTTCTTCTTTTTCTTTTTTTTCTTTTTTTTTTTTTCATCTATATTCATCGTTGTTGGTACAATTTTTAATACTCTTTCTTTCTTTTTTTTTTTTTCTTACTTACTTACTCGTTCGTTATCACACTTTAACGCTTTTTCATCTACGAACATCGATCACATTTTATAATAATCTTTATCGTACAAAGAGACAAATCAATCATATCTTGACGATATTAGGCGTGTCATTAAATTCAAAGAAAATCATTGATGAGATACAGAGATCGTAATCTAGATGAAAATTATAAAATAATTAATCTAACGCGTATTTAAACGACGATCATTGAATCTTATGTAATAGATAAGATTTATAGTATTTCATTATTTTGATTTTTTACATTTTATAATCGAGAAGATAAAAAAGAAAACGTAAAGAAATCACCATACTTCGTTCTAATAAATTAGTTTGAAAATTGTCTTCAAGATATATATCTTATGCACGCACATAGGGTTTTTATTGCACAATTAATATGAACAATCTAGTTATTAAAAAGAAATTACACCGTGGTAACTGATAGCAATCCCATTAATTTACCACCCGTACCGGGTCCACTTGCACCTACTCTGTTTCCATGTACCAACATTTCCTGTACCGTGGTAAAATCATCTAAAGTGGTCTTTTTGCGTGCCATCTTTTTGTGACTCAATTCTACGATGTTCAGCGGCTTCTTAGTTACCTTATCATCGTTATAATCGCATATCAATAGATCGTTATTGTGTTGCAATTGCAATTGTTGTTGCTGTTGTTGCTGTTGCAACATTAATTCTTGTTGTCGTTGCTTACGTTCTCTAGCTCTTTCAAGTTGTCTTTTACGTTCCTCTTTCGTCCAATAACGACCAACCTAAAGTTAACAAAATTTCATTCGAGATTTGTATTATTAATTTTTAGTAAAATGAAAATTGTGTTATACAAGATATAGAAATTGTAAATTGACGGTAATTGAATGTAATGATCGATGAGACATTTACCTTCATTTCAGACATAGTTTCGTCCTCCGTCGTGTGTCCAGCACGTTCTTCCGAGATTTTAAGGGCTCTATTCCTAAGAATCCGATTTCTAACAGGACGTCTAGCGATGTATCTGGTACCGTCGGCTCTTCGTTTAACTTTCCACTCCATTTGGACTTCGCATTTTTCCTCGGGTGGCATCCAAGCGGCTGAAGAACAAACTTGTTGGCTACCGACGAATTGATATTGCGTAAGATTCGGTGCTTGAAAGTTACCATGGGACTTTGATTTTCTAGCGCCACTTGTTTCCTTAGCAGTAAGATTCTTTCGATTGAGAGCTTGCTTGAATAATTGTTGCTGTAACATCATAGTTTGTTGAAGATTTGCAACATTCGTATACATAGTGTCAGCAGGTAAGGTACTCCCAGTTGAATCCGTACGATCCTTGTGATGAGATGAACTCTTCCTCGTAGTTTGACTTCTGCTACCTTGTTTACCACCACCGGCCGTCATCGACATGATCGGCATCGGACAATTACAGCCCATTTTTGGTTGCTGTTGTTGCTGTTGCTGCTGCTGCTGTTGTTGTTGCTGTTGTTGTTGTTGCTGTTGTTGATGCTGGCTAGTATTTTTCGGCGGACATAAAACCAGCGTACTCTTGTGATGATCTCTCTCACCCTGATGAAGTTCTAACGTTAGAGGATTACTATGGCACGATTCGCCTGTATTGTAAGCACTCGAACTATCTTTTTCTTCGCCCGAGCTGTTACTCTTTGAGGATGAGTGCCAAAGTTTCGTTTGATTGCCATGATTTTGTAACTGCTGCGAGTTAGATCCATGATTCATCTGTAACTGCTGTTGCTGCTGCTGCTGCGTCGTCCAATGGTGTTCGTAAGGCGAAGAATAAATAGGTTCGCTATCGGATTCTGGTATCGTTTCGTAAATGTGTTCGGTTTCGCTCCAAATGTGACTCGAATAAGCTTCTACGAGTTTTATTGTCGTTTGCGAAGGTACAACTTGCTGACCTCGCAACGATAAATTATCGATCTTCTTTGAACAATCCTTTAAAGCGTCTTGCATCCATTGCTTCCTGTCTTCCGTATGATGAGCCGGTGACGTTGCATTCTTACCTGATTTTTGTGAATTTTGCGAAGAACATGTTGAAGATGTGGTCGTTGAAAAAATCGAAGAACTCTGTTGTTGTTGTGGAGTAGGTAATTGATGTTGTTGTTGTTGTTGTTGTTGTTGCTGTTGCTGCTGTTGTTGTTGCGGTGATTGCGGTTGTTGCAGTTGCTGTTGCATGTGTGAAGGAATTGGAGGTGGTGCTTTCAACGTCGAAGTGTTTCCTCCTTCCGTTTCTTTGGTATGTTCTTCCGTTTGTTGTTGCTGTTGTTGCTGTTGTCGTATGAGTTGTTCGATCATACTGTTCTGATAAGCTGGCAAATTTTCCGGGGACAATGGTGGTGAGCCCTGGAAAAAAGAAAGAAAAGGATAACCAACATGAATTTAATTTCAAAAATAATTCTAATAAGATTAATAATATCAATAATGCATCAATTTTATATTATTAACATACCTGTTGATAAATACGTCTATCATCGTACTCGTCATCCTGTAATACAATAATTATTTAATTAATAAATATCAAGATTCTCCCAATAGAGACGTAAGTATAATTTAAATCAAACGGATATTCGTTATAATTATGTAAACAATTATTTTTCATTTCTAAACTTACCTGGTAAAGACATCGACTGACTAATATAGTCACGGCGTTCTTGGTCTCGGCGAATAAATTTTCCGTTTGTTCCTTGTTAGCTACATCTTTACCGTTCACCTGTGACAAGGTATTAAAATATATAAATGAAAATAATTATAATATAAAATAATCAAATCCCATATATGATTAATACGATAACAGAAAACGGATTCGTTAAATTTAGCGTTTAATTGTAAATTAAGATGTACTTTACCCGCAAGATTTGGTCACCTTCCCGTAACCGACCGTCACGGGCTGCTAAACTTTCAGGAACTATTTCTGAAATATAAACCTCCGTGTCGGCGTCTTCGCTACCGGAACCAGAACTATAGCAAACCGTGAGACCAAGCTTTTCTGCACTTCCGCTTTTACGTAACGTCACTTCCTACGAATTTAAAGATAATGTTTTATGTTATATATAGAGCAACATACAAAATACAAAATCACAAGTTCCATGATTTTGTTTGTTTTGAATAAATTTGAAATAATATTGAATTTATTTTATTTACTTTCTTCAATATTGATTAGAGAGATACGAGTATTAATTATTTAATTAATCAATTTAACGATAAAAATAAATAATAACGAACACTGGCATGGAATATTTCAATTAGTCACATTACGCATACACAGTAGGAGTAGTAGTATCTTGATTAACTAGTTGAATGCCACACGCTAATTTTACGTGGCTTGTTATTATGCGCGCTGCATATTATTTAGGAAATACACAAGTTAAAGTACGTAATCACGTGTAACGCATTTATTTAACTAAAGAGGGATGTCATCGATGATTATCACGAAATTCTCAACGTAATAATCAAGGTCCTACTGTGTACTTCTATATTTTATATAAAATTCTAATAATTAAATGATTATCAATATAAAATATCATTCTATTTGAGATATCAAAATTGAGAATAAATGTATAATAAAATAAAATAATACCTCGAAGTCGATATCGTGTGCAAGAAAATCCTCGAAACTGTCGTTAGTGTGTTCTTCACCACCAAGGGTTCCAGATAATAATTCTTCTTCCTCTACCAAGCCAGCCCAATCTGTTTGAACAGCAGTCGATACCAAAGGGCAAGGGTTTTCCTTTCCTAACTCGTCCTCGCTCATTTCTTTCTCGTTCGTTGTTCCTTCGTTTTTACCACCACCATGACTTGATCTCTCGTGTTCTCTCGATGGCGTGTGAACAATTTGTTGTTGATGAGACGATGGTTGTCTTCTAAGTACCTCGACGATGATCGGTTCTTGTGCCGATTGAAAACAACGTACTGCATCTTCGTGACTCGAGTTAGAAACATCTTGTCCGTTTACCTAAACAAAATGATACAATCATTTTTTTTTTTTTTTTAATAATAATAATAGAGGTAAAATTAATATATTATCGTGCACCCTGTGCGTGTTGATAATAAATGTAATATTAAACATTGATGATACATTAATCATTTCGGTATAAAAAAAAAGAAACTGGATTAATAAACTAGTATAATGTTATGATATTTTTTTAAAAGTAATCTAGACACAATTCGACAAAAAAATATGTTTTTAATATTCACGTAGGAGCCCGTATTTGCACGTATCTCGCAATCAAACGGCAATGTTGACGCGAAAATACATTTTTACATATGATCTCGATAGTGTATAGTTTCATTATAATACTCATGTTTATTATAATATTTTCGCGAACTAAAAATGAATAGAAAATTTGTACACTTTTAAATCGTGAACACTAGAATGCAAAAATATCGCATGAGATCTTGACATTTTTAAAAAACATTCGTCATATTGCACGGTGGTTAGGGGAAGGGATGTTTATTCTTCAATATATTGAAATCGTGTTAAAAATGAAAACAACGATTGCGTAGAAATATCGATAATTATTTTCTGTAATAATATAAGATAATAAAATAAAGAAAAATAAAAAGGGAAATGTCGTTTTTTCGGGCGTAACAAATAAATATAATAATTCCGCGGATTCCCCAAATCCGTGTAATTTAAAAATCTAACGAAATGGCGAACATTTTTATAAACGCGTGTTCGTGACAGATTGAAAACGATGGTAACAAGGGAAAAAAATTGGGTGGAAAAAGAAAAAAAAAACGAAAAAAAAAAAAAAAAAAAAAAAAAAAAATTGTCCCGCGGACTACTAATTCGAGACTGCCAGTCGCGTACACGTTTAATTGTTCGTTCGATTTAATTGAGTTTTTTTCTTCGGATCCCATAAAATCTTCCCTTTTTTTTCCATTTTTTTTTTTTCTGTTTTATTTTATTGTCACATCGGTTTTCTCGTCGGGGTGCCCCGTTCGGAAACATAAAATATAGTCGGTTCAACAACAACCATCGTGCGTGTTGCAAACCATGAATGTGATGATACAAATGGATACGGATAGATAAATCGATAGGATAAAGATAAAAAGATAAAGATATAGATAGAGAAAGAGAGTGATGGAGATAGGAACGAATTAATCTGGACGATTTCTAAATATCGTAGTACTATCTAACCACGGAATTAGGACAATGTGGCGTAATCATTGGTGGTCATTGATCAACCAGATTGGGAAGGGCTTTTAAATAGTCGAATATTCACCGATCGTATCTCCAATTAAACCTAATTCCTCCCCGAGGGCAAGCTAATGTCCGATCAAACATTTACCCTCGCTCGAGAAGGCACGAAAGGATCATTTATATTCTGAGGGGTAGCAGGTGGGAGACTTAATTTGTCACTAAGTGCTTGGATTTAAGGATAGCAAATTGAACTAAAGGTACTTTGTATTCTTTAAAAAGCGTTTCTCCGCACGCAGCACATACACACACACACACACACACACACGTGTTTCAATTCCTTTTTATATGCTAATCGTATTTCTGTCTAGTACGCGATGCTCTTTTTTCTATTATTATTATTATTATTATTATTAGAAGGAATGTCATAGAATAATAAAAAATAATCATTTTGATTACCTCTCTTTCCTTTTTTCTTTTTCTCTATATTTGCATTACCAACAATCTTAATAATCTTGAGAAGCATTTATTTGTCTCTCATAAAGATTTGTCAAGAGAATTCTTCCGAAATGTTTGTTGATACACGCATACACACAAATATACAAAAAAGAAAAGAAAAAAAAGAAAAAAAGAATAAAAGTCATATTATGTTTCGTATAAAACATAATAAAAAGACACCCCCACAAATTGCTTCTCACCTTTTCTTATTATAAACTAATATTAAAAAGTATATACAAAGGAGAATAAATCGTACACGTTTGCGAATACGGTGCAAGGGTTGACAAAGTTGTCTTTTCATAGTTAGTAAACCGTTATCGCATTCTACACACAAATGTATTTAATTTATTATTATTTATTATTGTGTTTCTCGCAATAAAGAAGAAGAAGAAGAAGAAGAAAAGTTTGTTACACGTATGTATTAACGTTTTATATATATGCATTAGGATGGATACGTAAAGAAGAGGAGAAACGTATTGCAATGCTTGTGAATTTCTTTTTGTTACAATCCTACCGCGGCTTTTCTTTCCTCTTCTCCCCCCCCTTCCCCCATTGAAAATAATTAACAAAAGTCATCATAATAAAGCGTATGGAATAATGCGTATTTAGTTTATTTTATCCTGGATACAAGCACAACGGCAACAACATTGTTCCAATATTTTTTTTCTTTTCCTTTTTTTTTCCCCCTTTTTATTTCGGAGTAACAAGCGATATTTTCTCCCCCTCTATTTCTCTCTCTCTCTCTCTTTCTCTCTGTTTTTTCTTTTAGACTACACTTGAGATTCTATAAAGAATTGTGAGTACTCGTGAAATCGTGGAAGGGTTAAATATACCGCGAATAAATCTCTTCAGAAGTCTATCTCACGCGTACTTTCTCTTTGTTCATTCTTTGCTTCGCTTTCAAGGAAAAACAAAGGTCGAATAGACATGGTGATGGTGGTGGTGGTGGTGGTGGTGGTGGTGGTTTAATGGTGGTAGTGGTAACTCGCAAATATAGACGACTATAGCGAAGGAAGAATCTTTATATCATTCGAATTTTATTCAAAGGAATACTCAACAAAATAATAAATCACGATTATATATTTCTACTATATATCCCCATGATTATTATACTCGTGATTAAAATATATATTTTTCTTTTTTAATTATTATCGAATTGTATATGTGTGTGACTATAATTGTGTGAATTTTGTAATTAATACTTTTTATTTTTTTTATTTTTCTAAATTACAGACAATTATTTATCGTGATAAATAATATCGCATAATCAATGATCGTAGGATAGGTATTTTTTCGGGTTTTTTTTTTTTTTATTTGTACTGCAGTTATAGATAAAGTAATTAAATTCTCGTTATTTTTGAAAGAATTTAACTAACCGCGTCACGATCGACGAGTTTAATTATTTCATCGTTCTATAGAAAAAATGAACAAAACTTTATTTCTTTCCTCGTCCTCCCCCTCCCCGCCTTATCCTGTTCATACTTTTCTTTCTTTCGTTCTTTTTTTTCTGAATTCTTTTTATTACGTCAAATAAAGATGCTCTACGTTTTAGTAAGCGAGCCCGCAGATATAGTCAGGGAAATATTAATAACCGACATAAATTTTAATGTCTGCCAGGATCCTCCAGCAAGAAGTGAATTACAACAACAACTACTACTATTACTATTACAACGACTACGAGGACAACGACGACCACTACTACGTGAGAGATGTTCAGTCTCGACGAAACATTTACCTTGCGAAATCGTACTTAAGATATAAATTTTATGTTACGGTACGGTGGTGTTGGTGCAAACCGCTTTTGGTATGCAAATTTATTCAAAAATTCGTTGGTTGCTACAACCGACAGACCGACAGACGGATTTTCTTTCGCCTTTTACAAAAGGTACACGCGTAAAAAGCTCGAAAGCACCATGAGAACATCGTAGATTAAATAGCAAATGACCAACCAAGGAATATTACACCACCATCACACGAATAACACCTACCATCGTCATCTTTTTCTACCCCCAGTTATCAAGTTCAACCATTATCGAGTATTATTTAGGTAAAACTTTAAACGAGGGGGTTAAATGTAAAAAGTAATAACTTCCTTCTTTCTTACCATCTTAAATGGATATGATGGTTTAAAGATTGACTTTAATTAACGTTTACGATGGAAAAATTAATTATATATATATTCATAATTTCATCTCTTTTATTATTACGAAAGGAATAAATGCCATTATGCATAACAATAAAATTTTAAATCATTTTAATGAGGAATAATTTGTCAATCTTGTGTACGATGCAAGATCAGTGTTAGATAAAATAATATATTTATCATTATAAAATTAGAATAACAAAAAAAAACCTCAACGTTGACCTCTCGTCGTAAAGTTTCTTACTATTCTTTTTGAATTATTTTTCGTTTATCTCTCGAATTATTATTATACATTTAACATAGAATAATAATTAAATGTTTCTATTAAAAAAAATCGAAATCAAAATTCAATCTTACAACGATATATTGAGAAACGCCACTAAATTTGAAGTGTAATAACGAAACCATTTTTTTTTTGTCTTTTCGTTGTCGAGAAAAATTCTACGTGGAAAAAAAAAAAAAGAAATCGAGGACAAGAGTTTTAGTTCTTTTGAGCACAGACGGTGATTTGGCATCTTGATGTCTGTCTTCCATTTGTTGCTCGAGAGAGCTTCGGGGAACGATGTGATCGAAACTTAACGCGATGTTTCCAACGTAGTGTACTAATACTTTTCTCTTTCTTCCTTTTACAACGAATAAAAGACGTCGACACAAAGCTGTGGTGTTGGTGGTGGGTGGTGAGTGGTGGGGGGGGGTGGGTGTGGAGATTCGTCGTCGTTGTGAAAAGATCGGATAAAAAAGGGACCTGACTGACTGCCTGCCTGCCTGACTTTAGTCACCACCCTTTTTCAGACGTATCTACTGTTAAACTCGATTAGGAAAGATAAGAGCATTTTCACTCGTTCGAAAGAGAGAGAAAGAACAAAAAAAAAGAAAATGTTCGACATAGAATGAATGAGAGAGAGAGAGAGATAAAGATAGAAGAACCGTTTCAATCGTTTTAACGACGAACGAACGAATGAACGATCGATAAACGTTCTACAACACGATGCAATTATGATAGTAATAGACGATGATAGGCGTAGCCCATAATTTAGTTTTAAACGAATAGGCGAGATACGTTAATAACGCTCATCAAACCATAATTATTATTGCGAGTTCATATTTCGCGTCTGACGAGATTCCATCAATTTTTGTGACATCCTTTACAACCACCCACTCTCTCCCCGTA